TATTTACCGTAAATTTACGGAACAGCCAGTTGGAGGATATTGACAGACTGTACAGTTGTGTATTTAACAAGTCGCTATTATAAGAAATTTTCTACTATTAAAAAATTAAATAAATAAATACATAACTTGGACATGTTCTCTAAAAACGACAAGCAAACCATTTAAATATTTATTTTGAATATTCAAAATCAACCCACTTGTGATCAATGGAATCTTCAAGATGCACAAATTTCAACTCTTGGATCTCCATTGAAGTATCAACCTTTTTTTTTTTTTTAATTGTGAGCTGATTTAGAAAGTTGGTTAAAAATTAATTTTTTTAATTTTTTAATTTTTTTTTTAATGTAAAAAGTGATGTAATTCAAAATGAATTACAAGTTGACTTTTAATTTTTTTTTTACTTGTTCTCAAATGACCCCTATGCATTTTATCTAACATTTTAGAAGAGGAATCTACAAAAATGTATTATTAAAGAAAATATTTTTATATTTTAAAATCTTCATATGCTGAACTGTAACAAATATTGAGATCACATAATGTCAATAATCCATTATATTATAAATAACCGGATAAATTATACTTTGTACTCCTATTATTTGATTCAAAATTTATTTTTGATAGCTATTGTTTCAATTTGAATAGTTTTGTGGTCTCCCTTTAAGTTCAATTCCAATTTGATCATTCTGTTCAAAATTCCATTAATTTTAACCTTTGATTTGACTAAAATGACAAATTTAAACTAGATTTAAAGTGTCAAAGCCAAATTATTCAGTTTAAAATAATTAAAATGGAAGTAAATTTGAATCAAAATAATATATAACCAAATTGCCCTTATGTAAACTTTCTGATTTTTTTATGTTAAGCCCCGGTTTGGCATTTATTTTTAGACTAAATAATTACAAAAAGATAAAATTGACTATAAAAACTAATAAAATAGAATATTATTTTTTACTCAAAATCATTGCACTTCTTTTCTCGCAAAAATTAAAAAAGTCTCAAAACAAAAATCAAACGAGGCTAAAAAAGTCCTAACATAAAAAAATTAACTATATTAACCGATGCCAAATGAAATTTTAATGTTTCAATTTTTTTTCCTCCATCTACCTTCAACTTATTTTTAACCGAATGATATCTACATACTTTTTACAAACATGGAGTGGACTGAACTTCTAGCATACATAAATATATAGAATAATGCAATATTTACTAATTAATGTACTATTTAGTATATTAATAGATAATATGGTATAATTTTAAAAGTTTTAAGTATTTATAATTTCTATAATAGGTGGGATCAGTAATAATAACATAACACTAATTGGTACCCTAGTATTTACATTAATTGGTGCATGTAGCACAATTAGTATATTAACTAGTCTATCAATACTAGTTATGACATTATTATTGACCTCATTCATTATATAAATTACAAATATCAAAAGCATTTTAAATTGTGGCACATCATCAATTAATACACTAGTTAATACATTAATTAGTATATATAGCATTATTCAAATATATATAGTTAATGCTAAGGTGTATTTAATAGTGTATTCATTTTTCTTGAATTTAGCAAATTTTTAATTTTAACTTGCTAATGTTAATAAATGTTATATTAAATTGTCTTGAGTTTAGAATTTTCTATTTGTAACCAATTATTTAAATTAAATATATTTGATAATTTTATATTTTTAACCTATTATTTAAAAGTGAAGAAGTTTTAAAATATTATTTTGTGTGTTTGGTTTCAATTTTTTGAATTCAATTTTTTAGAAATTGAGTTTTTTATTTTTCATATTTTTTTTTGTTTCTAGTGAATATTTTTAAAATTTTAAGCAAATTTTTTTTTTTACTTTTTTAGATACACCTTACTTAGATGTATATAAAAAGTAAAATATTTGTAAAAAAATATTTTAAAAAATTAATAAATACACCAAAATACGAAAAATATATTGAATTTTTGTATTTTTTATATTTTGGTACTTAGTGAATTTTTTTAAAAATAAATTACAAATATTATACTTTTTATATGTCTTTATGTGAGTTGTATCTAAAAATTAAAAAATTACTTAAAATATTTTAAAAAATTAGTAAAAATAAAAAAAAAATACGAAAAATAAAAAAATTCAATTTGTTGAAAAGTGAATTCTTAATTATGAAATCATACAAGCTAAATTCCTGTCCCAGATTAATAAATTATTAAATGCACCTTATCAAGTGCTCAAAGGACACATTTTAGTATCGGTGGTGCTACATGCACCAATTAGTGTACACACTAGTGTACCAACTAGTGTTATGATATTATTATTGACCACATTTATTATACAAGTTACAAATATCCAAAACTATACAAATGAATTAATTGACACATATAACGTTATTCTTTTAGTATTAATCAAGTGCTCTAGGGGCTCTTGCTAACAAATGCCGTGGGGCATTTGATAAGATGCATTTAGATCTCGTTTGGAAAGTAATTATTTTAGTTAAAAAGTCAAAAAGTTTTTATAAATTATTACATTACTTTCTCTATTTTTCTGCACATCTTTTAGTAAAAAATCAAAAAATTACTAAAATAATTTGTTCCCAAACTTAATAGTGTATTAATTTGTCTTAAATTTAATAATTTTTTAATTTTAACTTGCTAATGTATATTTAATATTATATTAAAGGCTTTTGTTAATAAGAAATGTATTAAATGAGTGTAATTACTTCTATTTATATAAAAAGCAATAAATTTTTTTAAAACAATTAAGACTAAAGAGTTTTTTATCGGTGTTGTTACATACACCAATTAGTATACTAACATATAGTATGACATTATTACTGATCCCACCTATTATACAAATCATAAATATCTAAAATCTCTAAAATTATGTCACATTATCTGTTAGTACACTAATTAATATATCAATTAATGCAGATAGCATTATTCATTTTTTTTTGACATGGAGACCAAAATACCCTCTTTGTATTTTCCTCAATTTCACCCATTAATTTTCACTCTATTATTTTATTTTTATTATAATTATATATTTTTTGAAATTTGCAACACATACAATGATTATATAATTTTAAATAAAGTATTTTTATTTATTTTGTTAATTATTTTTTCAAATCAATTGAAATGCATTTTATTTTTATTTTTTGTTGTAATATTATAACATCAATGAATTTTTTTTTATTTTTTGTTTGGGGGGGGGGGGGGTGCCGAGGGGGGGGGTTTTTATTATTGGATGAATATCTAATTGTAAGTGAAATTCATCAATCTGTTTGAAGAATTTGTTTGAACTTAAATGAGTTTTCAAATTAAAAAATACTATTATTTTATGTGATTTATAATGTTTTTTATTTTTTGACAATGCTACGCCAAAACGACGTCGTTTTGGTCATTTGAGCCACAAAATTTGAGCTACGAGACATTTTCCTTTATTTTTTACAATAATGATTCATCCCCCTTTTTCCCCCACCCTCTTTGACCCCCTCTCTCTCTCATTGGTTACATTTTCTTTTTCTTTTTCTTTTTTTTCCTGCTCCTCCAATCACCACCCGCCACGTGGCAAAGGGGGGGTGAGGGGGTGACTCCCAAAAGGGGGTCCCAAGCATTATTCTATTTTTTATGCAAGAGCATACTACTATTTTATTTTTTATATTTTTGTAAATAAGTTAATTTTGATATTCCAAATGTGAGGACATTTTTACCCATGTAAAAATATATCTAGTTTTTAAAAATTACTTAATTTATTTCTATTTGTGTTTTATATTTCCCATGTAAGTGGAGGTAGTTTAACCTCATTAATATGTGCCTTACGTACGTATTAACAAGATCCTATATTAAATTGTACTGAGTTTAGTAATTTTCTATTTTTAACTAATTATTTAAATTAAATACATTTAATATATTTCTATTTTACATTTAGGGTGAATTATACTGATAGTCCCTATAATTTGAAATTTGTATCACTTTAATTCTTAACTTTTCAATTGTCACACATTTAATCTTAAATTTTGAATCTTGTTCTAAATAAGGACAATTTAAGATATCATTGCTCAATTTCAAGGGCAAAATCGTCAATTTGATAAAATATAAACTAATTTGACAAAAATAAATGTCAAAATTTTTTTTTGAATTTTTAAAAATTATTTATACCCACCAAAGATAAAATTATGTAAAATTGATAAATTTTTTACACGTTTATTTATTTATTTATTTACCAAATTAATTTTTATTATGTGTTTGAAGGTAGGATTTAGAGAAGATGGATGAGTGGTGATGGAGGTTAATGGTCTCATAAACTCTGACTTATGATATAGTGGATGTGTAGGCATGTGAGGTAAGGTATCCCCAAATTTTTAATACAGTATCTCTTTTAATAATTTTATTTGAAATTATTATTATAATAAAAAAAACTAAAAAATAAAGATTCAAATGTGTTGTTTGGGAAGTAGGTTGACTTTTTGACTTTTTTTTATTATTTTAGCCTGGACTAAAAAATTTAATTTGAAAAGAATTTTTTAATTTTTTGACTTTTTTGTAAAAAAAGAGTGTAATGATTATAGATTAAATATAATATTTTATTTCTTATAATTAAAATAATCTATTTTATCTTTTGTGATAAAATAGTCAAAACCATCTTCTCAAATGGGACCAAAATAATTAATACAGTACTAATAGCAACCCTCACTATTTGTTGTCTTCGGACCTTTATTTTCTAGGTCAAGTGAAATTTTCATCATTACTTGTCTTTTTTTTCTTTTTATTTTTTTATATTTTTATTAGTCACACACTCTGCGTGTACTATGAAGAAGATTTAGGATTGGTTTGGAGAGTGGATTGCTTTTTAGTTTTTAAGTGTTTTTTAATTATTTTAATTTGAATTAAAAAAATTAGTTTAAAAAATATTTTTTTTATAAGATATATCTCTCTCTGGGAAAAGACTACGGATTTTTTTTTTTTTTTTTTTTGGAACCAAACCAAACCACCCCACCCATATACCCATCTACACACACAAAAACTACCCATAGAGAGAGAGAGAGAGAGAGAAAACATATATATTAGGGGAGTCGCCGGAGTTTTCCATCACCACCACACATGGCGGCAGCCAACGTACTCCCAGGGCCATACAACACCTCCTCAGCAGTACCAGACTGGCTAAACAAAGGCGACAACGCATGGCAAATGATATCCGCCACGCTCGTCGGCCTCCAGAGCGTCCCGGGCCTCGTCATCCTCTACGGCAGCATCGTTAAAAAAAAATGGGCCGTAAACTCGGCCTTCATGGCCCTCTACGCCTTTGCCGCCGTCGTCATCTGTTGGACCACGTGGGCCTATAAGATGTCGTTCGGCGACAAGCTTCTCCCCTTTTGGGGAAAAGCAGGGCCCGCTTTGGGCCAAAAATTTTTAATCAAACAAGCAGCGCTTCCGCAAACCACCCAATATTTCGAGAACGGCGACGTCGAGACGCTGATGATCACGCCGTACTATCCGATGGCGTCGATGGTGTGGTTTCAGTGTGTTTTCGCGGCGATTACGCTGATTTTGTTGGCGGGATCGTTGTTGGGGAGGATGAATATAAAGGCTTGGATGATGTTTGTGCCGCTGTGGCTCACATTTTCTTATACAGTGGGAGCATTCAGCCTTTGGGGTGGAGGGTTTTTGTTTCATTGGGGTGTTATGGATTATTCTGGTGGGTATGTTATTCATTTGTCTTCTGGGATTGCTGGCTTCACTGCTGCTTACTGGGTTAGTACTTACTTCTCTGCCAATTTTTCTTTTCTTTTTTTAGCGTCGAAAATTTTTAACTATTAGTGAATATTATTTGTTAATCTCATCTATACAATCGTACATTTCGACTCCCTTAATCTTGCTTTCATCTCCTTTATAATACTTTCAAAAGAGGTGTGTTTGAATAATTTTTATAGTTTGAGGGGTTAATATAAATGAGTTCATAAATAAAGGGTGTAAAGTGATATTAATTAATATTAAAAGGATTTTGATGTAATTATCTCTTTCTTTTTTTTTTTTTTCTTTTTTCTAGATCATATTTGGTGGTGGTGTGGGACAGTTTTTGCTTGATTCTATCCTGGCTAAATTTCAATTGTTTTGAATTTAAAAAATAAAAATATTATGTAACGTTCAATTAATACCCATTAAGCCTCTCAAACGGAGGTGGGTTGGCTTTTTTTAATTTTTTGGCTATTTTAGTCTTGGCTATTTTAATCTAGTTTGGGAAAGATTTTTTGACTTTTTGAATTTTTTGACTTTTTTTGTGAGAGAGGATTGTAATGATTATGGGTTAGATTTGATGTTTTATTTTTTTAGCTAAAATAACCTATTTTGTTTTTTTTTTGTGGCTATTTTAGCCCCTAATCCACCAAACCTTCTTGCCAAACAACCCCTAAGAGTGTTTGGTAGGACGCCAAATAATAATTAGTGAAAAATAGTCAAGTTTACACATTGTTTTGCTGCTATTCATCACTCCCCCGGGATTGCTGACTAGTTATTTTCATTTTTATTCTTATTTTTATGTGGTTGAGGTGGGTGGTTCTATTTGGATGTATTTGTTTTGACTTTGAAAATGATGGTATTTTTTTTAACAGTGAAAATGATGGTATTTTTATTTTATTTTTTTAACAGGGAAAATGATGATATATAGGGAAAAAATTTAAGAGTATAGAATCAGACCACACAATTTATTCATGGTAGGTAACAGGCATTAAATGTGTGTATAATTTTCCATACAAATAGGAAAAAAAATTAAGAATATATAATCTGACCACATAATTTATTCATGGTAGGTAACATGCATTAAATGTGTGTATAATTTTCCATATAAATAGGAAAAAAATTTAAGGTCATGTTCGATTCACAAGATTAATAGTGAAGTATTAATAATCCTATTAAATTAGTGTAGTGTTCACTATCCAATTGGATTAATATTCATTGGATTAATAATCTCACCCATACCCCATTACCTATGTAGCACGGACACGGACACGGGACACGACACGGACACGATACGGACAAGCGGACACGCAATTTTTCAAAAAATGGGGGACACGACACGCTGGGGACACGTTTAATATATATATTTTTATTTTTTTATTATATGTCTAAAATAAATAAAAAAAAATCATTAATTCTTATACAATTATAATAATAATAAAATTAATAAACATATATTTTTTTAATTTTTTTAATAAAAATGAGTTTTTTTAAATAAAAATAATTTATTTAATGAATTTTATGTTTAACAAAAAAAATAAGGATAAAAAAAAGAAAGAAGAAAAAAAAAAGAGGGAGAGAGAGAGAAACTGGATCAATATAAAGGGAAAAAAAATAAAAAAGAGAAACAATAGAGGAAAGAGAGAGAGTCAGAAAAGCAAAGACGAAAGGGATGAGAAGAAAAGTAGAGACGAAAGAGAGGAGAAGAGGAAGAAAATGAAGAGAAAAAGGAGGAGGAGGAAGATGAAGAGAAGGAGAAGGAGAAGAAGAAGAGAGAAGATGAAGAATATCACCTTAGGTTCTTCGATTGACAGGTTCAGCTTCTTCGATTGACAAGTTAGGTTTCTTCCTCCCTCAATCTCTTTCTCTCTCTGTCTCCTTCGATCTCTTTCTCTCTTTCTCTGTCTCCTCTGCAACAGTTAGGGTTTCTTTCTATCTCTGTCTCCATCGATCTCCTTCTCTCTTTCTCTGTCTCCTCTGCAACAGTTAGGGCTTTTTCGATCCACTCACGCGTGTCTGGAGAGTGTCCCGGCGTGTCCGACTGGAAAATTTCAAAAAAAAAAGGGGATACGTTAGAGAGAGTGTCGGACACGTGTTTACTGCATGTCCAACACGTGTCCGTGTCCGACACTCGTACGTGAGGCCTAGGGACGTGTCGGTGCTTCATAGCCCATTACTAATAATCCTACAAATTTGTTGGATTAATTATCCATTGGATTAATAATCCTAAACCAAAATGTTAAAATAAATATAGGATAATTAGGCTCACAGATTAATAATTTCAATCCCATGCTCTAATCCATCCAATCAAACATGCCCAGGTCATGTTTGATTCACAACACTAATAGTGAGGTATTAATAATCCTATTAAATTAGTGTGGTATTAACTATCCCACCCCTACCCCATTATTAATAATTCTACAAATTTGTTGGATTAATTATGCATTGGATTAATAATCCTAAACTAAAATATCAAAACAAACATAGGATAATTGGGCCCACGGATTAATAATCTCAATCCTATACTTTAATCTTTCCAATCAAACATGCCCTAAGAGTATATAATAGGCCGCAAAATTTATTCATGGTAGGTAACACACATTAAATGTGTGTATAACTAGGTCACATAATTAATTCATGATAGATAATTAAATGGGAGCCTCATTCTATGTAAAAGAGTTGTATTTGATTTAATAATCAAATTCTAATTTTGCTTTGAGGGTTTACTACCTTATTGATTAAAAATAAACTTTAAAAAAAAATTATGTTAAAATAGATACTGTTTAACATATTCTTAATTTATAAGTCTACTCAATCTCCCTTTTTATTTTTTTCTTGCATATTCGTGTAGTTTATTTTAAGCGTGATTGGCACTAAAGGCAAATTTAAACTACAAAATATATTTATTTATTTATATTTTGTATTTTAATTATGTGCACCCAATATTTATCATTTTGAGAAGAAATCATCTAAAATTAAATTTAGAGAAAAGTTAGGGATCAAGAAATTTTTTTTATGAAAATAATCATGAAAGAGTTATAATCTTTGGATTACCTTGATTAGTGTGTGGTGCTTTATTCTAAGTGTAATTTAAGAGTCACAAAGTTTCTATGATTACTTTCATGAAAAAAATTTCATAATACCTAACGTTATTGTTAAATTTTTATGTATGTGTCGTAGTAGTCTACCTCGGTAATGAACCAATAATTATGTGGTATGGGAGGGCACAACATCTCAATCTCAATTCCTTTGCCTTTGTCTTCTAATAATTGTAGTCATTAATTATATTTTGAGATGGAGAAGTTTAAGAGAATTTTTATGTTGTGTTTAGTTGGGGAATTTGAGAAGGGATTTGGAAAAAAGTAAGTGAAATGTGAATAAAATATACTTATATTTTACATAGTTTCACACACTTTTTCATTTTCCTTTCTAAATTCCTCCTTAAATCTCCTAACTAAACATAGCCTTAATCAACCAGTTTCACTTGGGTGATAAATATTTCGAATTTACCATACACAAAAAAAAAAAAAAAAAAAACATATTTTTGTTTTTAGATCTCTCCTTTAATTTTTTTTTTCTTTCTCTCTCTTCCTTTTGTGTCCCTAGCTAGCTCCTCTAATCTCAATGTATTTCTTCCTTCACAATTAATTTTAACTATGACCATTTTTTAATTCAAGAAAGAATAGGGTAACTCTATCTTTACGCAAATCTCAACTAAACTTAAAAAATAAATAACACCTATAAGCCTAGATATATATTTAATTCACTAAATATTTAAATAACTTTTAGTTAAATTGTTGAAACAATTGCTTCTATCAATATATCATAAGTTTTTCTTTTTATATTTGCTATAATTCTATTTTACAGGCTGGAGGAAGTGATTAGTATTTTTTTTATTTTGCCAAAATCCAACATGTCAATAATGGCTGTAAACCGTCTCTCTCATTCATTTTTTCTTTTTTCTTTTTTTTGTCCCCTTCTGTCATCTTAAACACAAGAAAACGGACATCTTGTTCTTTTGTTTATTTTTCAAAAAAGTTATTGTCATATTGAACTTTTTTAATCATGTATAATGTACATTTCTTTGGTCGAGAAAAATTTTTCTCCACTCTACAATTATGGATTAGACTGTGCAGTTTGGCTAAATAAATTTATAGCGAGTTATATTTTATTATCTGAATCACTTGTTTTATAAGTCTTTATACATATTTCACGCATGAAAAAAATAAAATTGATTTAATAAATATATCATTTTATCACATTTGTATGTCAAAAAAATAGAGGAAAAGAATGAGTTTAACAATAAACCAATTTTTTTTTAGGTACTAAAACCAATTATTTTTTTATAGACAAATATGTAAACCATATGGTTATAATATTATCAAATCAAATCAATTTGATTTTTTTGTTTTTAATGCATGATCTATGCACAAATGCCCATAAAATGAAAAACTCAAATCATGAAACTAAATAATTTCTTCAATGTCATTGTAGGCATAGTTTGGGAAGTTGGTTTTGGTGGGTTAGGGGCTAAAATAGTCACAAAAAATAAAATAGGCTATTTTAGTCACAAAAAACAAAACATCAAATCTAACCCATAATCATTACACTCCTCTCTCACAAAAAAAGTCAAAAAAACTAAAAAGTCCTTCCCAAATCAGACTTTTTAGCCCCAGGTTAAAATAGTCAAAAAGTCAAAAAGTCAATCCACTTCCCAAATAGAAGCGTAATATGATCTAAATCTTTTATGACTAGTAAGACTAGTCTGATCTACCAAATCTTTTGCACCTCACTGTCAGATTAGTGGTCAATGTATTTGTTTGGAGTTTTTCTCGTCCATTTTGAGAGTTTCTTTGTACAATTTATATGTTGTATTTGATTTTTATCATTATAATTATAATTTATTAAGTTTCATTATAATATCGTATATGAATCAAATCAAATAAATAAAGGGTTAATTACACTTTTTCACCGTTATAATTTTACCTAAATTTCACTTTAGTCTTTATAGTTTTAATTTAAACAATTAGGTTATTACACTTTAAATCTAATTTTAATTTGATTCTTTTGTCCAAATTTTCATTAATTTTTTCCTATGTATACACCTTACGAGACTAACAAATATTTCAAATCGTTAATTTTAACCTTCAAAATGTAATAACTAAACTTTTTAATCTATAAAATTTAAAATAAAATTTGAATCGAACTGTTCTCGTTGAAAGTGTAATTAACATTTTTGAATTGGGGGTTTTTAGGTTGGGCCGAGATCGACAAACGACAGAGAGAGGTTTCCACCGAACAACGTAATACTGATGTTGGGAGGGGCTGGGCTGCTGTGGATGGGCTGGGCCGGATTCAATGGTGGAGATCCATACAGCGCAAACATAGACTCATCAATGGCTGTCCTTAACACCAACATTTGCGCCGCCACTAGCCTCCTTGTCTGGACTTGGCTTGACGTCATCTTCTTCAAGAAACCCTCCGTCATCGGAGCCGTTCAGGGCATGATCACCGGTCTCGTTTGCATCACCCCTGGTGCAGGTAATTATGCCCCTACCACTCCCCCAACTTAAATTTTTTTTTTTAAATTACATTTTTAAGTGTTATATTTGACTATAAGTTTACTTTTAATTTGGTAATTTGGTAATTTAAATTGAAAGTTACAATTAACGATTTTTAGAATATTTTTCAATTTCTCATGTCGAACAAATTTGAATAGAATGACTAGATTGAAACTGTATTTAAAATGTAGAAATCAAATTGACACAATAATAGTGATCAAAGTAAAATTTGAGTCAGAAGCAAAATTTTTTTATCCTTTATTCTTTTAAAAAGTAAGTAACTAGGCACTCTTTGTTAGTTTTTGAAATGAAATAAAAAAATAAATAAATTGAACTTTGAAGAGTTGTTGTTTTGTTGTAATTTATCCTTTTAATTTTTTTGTCTTTATAATTTTAGTGAAATTTCATTTAAAAAATAATTTATTTAATTATTGAAAATAAATATTAATTTATATATATATATATCATTATATTTTCAACCCTATTCAAATGGAGCTTATTTTTACTCAAGCGCAACCCTATTGCCTAAAGAATAATGCTTGGGACCCCCTTTTGGGGGTCACCAATCACCCCCCTTTGCCACGTGGCGGGTGGTGATTGGAGGAGCAGGAAAAAAAAGAAAAAGAAAAAGAAAAAGTAACCAATAAGAGAGAGAGGGGGTCAAAGGGGGTGGGAGAAAAGGGGGATGAATCATTGTTGTTGCCTAAATGAGTTAAAAATTTTAACCCTCAAACAAACTGAGCTAAAAAACTTAACTTAGTTTGTTTACAACCTTAACCAATTGTTATTTATAAAATCTTGCTTCAATTTCATCAATTTGTCACACGTATATATGTTTAGGTCTTGTTCAAGGATGGGCTGCCATAGTCATGGGAATTCTATCAGGCAGTGTTCCATGGTTCACAATGATGATAATTCACAAGAGGTGGACACCGCTCCAGCAAATCGACGACACACTCGGTGTCTTCCACACCCACGCTGTCGCTGGCTTCCTCGGTGGCACCCTCACCGGCCTCTTTGCAGAGCCCACACTTTGCGCCCTCTTCTTGCCCGTCACAAACTCTAGAGGCGGCGTCTATGGCGGCTCTGGTGGAATCCAATTCCTCAAACAAATCGCCGGTGGCTTATTTATTATCGGGTGGAACCTCGTGATCACATCGATCATTTGTGTTGTGATTAGGTTGGTGATTCCGTTGCGAATGACTGATGAACAGTTGAAGATTGGTGATGATGCAGTGCATGGGGAGGAAGGGTACGCGTTGTGGGGTGATGGGGAGAAGTATGATGCAACCAGACATGGAGTCTACGCCGATGATACGATTCATCAAAAGACCTCCATTGGTGCAACTCAAGTGGTCTAATCCTGTCGCTAAGTAAAACAATTTCTTCTCTCTCTTGTCACTAGGTCATGTTTGAGACTCTTGTGTCTTAAAATTCTCATAGAATTTTATGATTAGAAATTCATTGAGACAGAGAGATAAAAGAGATTTAAGACTAAAGATGTCTCGTCTCGTCTCTTTCCCCTTATTCTTCTTTTATTGATTGTTAAAAGAAGTGATTTAGAAGTTGAGGAACCAATAATCATGTATTTGTGAGTGATGGGTGTGAAAAGTTGTTGATTTATTGTAGTGTGCATTTTGTGAGCTTAAAGGTTGTTAATGAAACATAGATTGGAGTTCAATTGATGTAGCATTTGGATTCAATTTAGAATTTTATTTATTTGGAATGATGTAATAGTTTGGGTTATATTTGTTCTTTGTAAATCATATTTCTTTTACAAATATACAATTAAATTTTGTTTGGTAACTCCAAAGACATTTTCACAATTAAACAGTATTACAAAAACAAACCAAGGACATCACTTGTTAAAACTGTATCCATTGCACCATCAAACACTGGATTGAATAACTTGCATAACAAATATTATCCTATCCCAAATTGGCTTGGTTATAATCCAACAAATAATCTTAAATTGACATTGACATAGAATTTTATAGTAAAAAAAAATGTATATAACTTTGTTAAATTTTAAATTAGCATATAATCATTGACAAAAATTAGGATACAAGAATATGTAATGGACCAAATGGAGAACAAGTCCATCAAAAGGGATTTCCCACTAAACTTGAGTTTATTTGGGTTGTTTAGATTTATTTTGGGCTATATCTTAAAATATTAATAGAGAGGGTCCAATCTAATTCCAAATTTACACTTGACCATGCCCAATCTCCATAACAAGAAGAAGAAGAAGAAGTTTGTGAACAATCCGGCCCAATGAGATCCCACCAACATGATCTATTGGACCCATTGAGCCCGAAAACAATATTTTACAATATTAGATAAATTACAATTACACTTCTTAAGGTTTGCTTAAAATATGAATTATCTCATGTGATTTTAAAAATTACATTTCGCCTCCTGATGTTTTGAATTTTATAACAATCGGCCCCTTTTATTAATAAATCATCAAATCAATTAATAATTTTTAATGATATCATAAATTTATTTTAATTAATAATGTAAGTAATTTTATTATTGTATAAGAGAACAATTAAAAAATTTATTTTTTTAGTTAATTCTATTAAATAAAAAAATTATGCAAATAGGTATTTATAATTTTCCACACTATAAAGAGAAATCCACATTTTAAGCAAAACTCAAAAAGTATATTTATAAATTTTCCTTTAAGTTTCAACTTTATTTTTTCAAATAATATGAAGCAACAATAAAATCATACAAAATTACATTAAAAAAGTAATTTTTAAACACTAAAAATTCATATACAATCTATTTATAATTATTCAATATATGTTTTGTGGGGACATAAATCTTGAATGACGACACGTGGCCGACGTGTCACGTGTCCTGGTCATGATGCCGAGATGATCTCGGCTAGGCCGAAGTTATCTGCGAGAATACCGAAATCTGGGATAAGCGAATAAGGGACGAGTCCTAGAATTCAGTTTGGGTAAAGATAAAGACTCTTAGAGAGTTTATCCTAATCCTACTAGGAGTCCAAGATTAGCAGTAATCCTAAGTCTATTGAAGCTAGGCTTCTATTGGGACTAGGATTGTGTTGGCTATAAAAAGGAGGCACCCTCATGGGTCTAAGGTACGCTTTTTATATTCTAAATAGTGAGTTAAGCACTTTGGCTATCTTTAAGAGATAACTAACTTGATAGTCGGAGTGCCCCCGGGTAGACGAACTACCGCCGGAATCTCATCTTTCTGTTACAGGTCATTCAGGCGCCATCTATTCTGCCAGTGCTCTCCAGTTGAATACTTGTTTGGCAGTGTGGTTGGAAATTAACACACACAATTTGGCGCCGTCTGTGGGAAAGAAAGGAGAATAGATGGCCAATAACAGACAGAAAGAGTAGGTTGGGGACGACACTCCTACTGGGAGTGGGAAACCTATTGACCGTGACGTCGAAGAAGACAACTCCAACAAAGAGACTCGAGATAAGAATCACGGAGAAAAAGACGTCGGCCAGGAGGGCGACACATCAAAGAAATCAAACCGAAGCGGGTATTATAACGAAGACAACCTCTAGGTATGGAAAGAAAGATGCCTACAGAGGGACGACAAGATGAAGGGAATGGAAAATAAATTAGCAGACTTGCAAACGATCGTCAACTTCATGATGCAGAACAATGTCATGCAGCCACCGTTCCCGTTGTAAAATACGCTGATTCCAACGGCCAAGAAAGATGCCCGAAAAGATGGGCAAAAAATAGTCCCTACAGTCCCCCAACACACTAGGACCGAAAAACACTCTCACTGGCCTTCAAGGGAGGTCGGGCGAGGAGAGTCAAGAAGGAAAGAATCTAGGAGGACGCATCGCACCAAGGAAGTTGACCCCAAAGAACATTGGCATGTTCAAGGGCAGGAGTTGTGCTTTAATGCAACCAATGAAGAAAGGTCGAAGAGGGCTCACAACGAAACTGGAAGTAGTGCACCGAAAAGGCTGAAGTCAGGAGATAGCCGAGCTCCTGGACGGACCAAGGAGGATCTAAAGGATTACCTACAGAGAAAGCAACAAGATGCCGAGGTAACCTCCCCAGTCAAGCCGAGAACGCCGCTCTCGGTAGAATTGGACAAATTCGAAGCCCCAAAGAGGTTTAGTATGCCGAGATTTCAGATCTACGATAGTAAGTTGGACCGCAACTTTCACGTCGATTTGTACCTGAACTCGATGGCGTTATACACCAGGAATGAGCCGTTGATTTGCAAGGTGTTCCCTTCATCCTTCAGAGAAATTGCATCGGACTAGTTTCACAAGTTGCCTAAAGGAACTGTGAAAACCTGGGAAGGCCTGGTCGAGATGTTTGTGGCCAGGTTCGTGACAAACAAACTGCAACCATTAAGGGTAGACGCGCTGATAGCCCTAAGAATTAGCGAGGACGAAAGCCTTAGGGCCTATTCCAAAAGGTATTATGAGGTATTTAACCGAATACCAGGATGCAACCAAGAGGTGGCGGTTGTGTCGTTTAAGAACAGCCTGAAAGATGACTGTCTGCTTCGGAAATCACTGGCAAAGACATTGCCAAAAAGCATGGAGGAGCTTATGGCTAGGATAGAAAAGTATGCTAGGGCCGAGAAGGATACGCCGGGGACAAAGGCGCCGAAACCAGAGAAGAAAAATGGCTCGCCAAAGCGAGGCCAAGGTGATGGTGGCTACAACAAACCAGAAACAGGATTAAGGGCTTTTCAGGCAATCACAACTGTATTCCGAATTTCAATTTACAAAGTCTTGAAGAAAATTTGAAATCAGCCCTATTACAGAGCACCAGCAAGGGTACCAGGTGAATTCATGGGAAAAAGCCTTGGCAAGCACTGTGCTTACCACAATGAGGCTGGACATCTAACTCAGGGGTGTAGAGCCCTGAAGACACATCTAGAAGACCTGGTAAGACAATGCCATTTAAGAGACCTAGTGGACGAGGCCAGGACAAGGGAAGAGCAAGCAAGACTGCCCCAAGCACCAATAGCACCACCCCCACCAACACCACAACCACAGGCAAGCGAACCTCGAGTGATCAATATGATTCACTCGAAGGTGAATGAGAATGAGATAAGGGGGGAAACCCAGAAAGTAAAACACCTACAACATGTGTATCAGGTCAAGAAGAAGAGACCTAGGGTAAACAAGAGCCAGGGACCAGTGGTGTCCTTTACTGAGGAAGACCTGGAGATGGTGCAACATCCACACAACGATGCCTTGGTAATATCCCTCCAGATTGGAGAGTGCCAAGTGAAGGGCATCTTAGTTGACCAAGGTAGCTCTTGTGACATCATGTATGGTAGGTGTTACAAGGAGCTTAGCCTTTACCAAGATGACTTGGAGCAGTCCAATGGCCCAATGGTTGGGTTCAATGGGACGCCGACATGGCCCCTAAGAGCAGTAAGTTTGGAGGTGCAGGCTGGCACCAAGAAGCTAAAAACAGAGTTCACCATAATCCACACCCCTTTCCCTTACAATACTATCATGGGAAGGCCATGGCGACATGCAATGAGGGTTGTTCCCTCAACATTACATCAACTATTGGGTTCCCAACAGAGCATGGAATAGAGGAGGTCAGAGGGGATCAATTGCAGGCAAAGAATTGCTCCATGGCAGCAATGAAGTCTACCTGCAACATACGAAAAGTAAAAATAGCAGAGATCGAGGACGAGAATGTGGAAATCCTGGATGACGTCGGCAAAGAGCCAGCCGAGAAGAGTAAAGAAACCCTGAAGAAAATCCTTGTCCAGCAAGGGGATGAGGAACGCTTCTTTCTTCTCGGCTCAGGCTTAGTCGAAGGAGAGGAAAATGAGCTAGAGGCATTCTTGAGAGCAAACCTTGAAGTGTTTGCATGGACACCATACGAGATGCCAGGCATTGACCCCGAGGTCACTTGCCACAGACTGAATGTAGACAGGTCGGCCAAACCTGTCATCTAGCGAACAAGGAGGCCGACATTAATGCATGTTGAGGCAGTAGAAGAGAAAGTGGATAGACTTCTGGAGGCCAGAGCCATTTGAGAGGTAAATTACCCGACATGACTATCAAACATAGTGGTTGTGAAGAATTCACCAGCCTGAATAAGGCTTGTCTCAAAAGTAGTTTCCCATTACCCAAGATTGACCAATTGGTGGATGCCACTTCAGGGCATGGAAGGATGAGCTTCCTGGATGCCTGCAGAGGGTACCATTAGATACCTATGTACCTCTCAGATGAGGAAAAGACTGCATTCATCACCCTCAAAGGGCTATACTGCTATAGGGTAATGCCTTTTGGATTGAAAAATGCAAGAGCAACTTACCAAAGATTAGTAACCAAGATGTTCAAACATCTAATTGGCAGAACAGTAGAGGTATACATAGATGACATAGTCGTGAAGACCAAGGAGCCTAAGGATCATCTGGAAGACTTAAAGGTAGTCTTTGACATCCTTAAAACATATCGGCTCCGACTCAATGAATCGAAGTGTGCATTTGGAGTTGGGTCTGGTAAGT